TTAACATAAAATTATATGGGATGTTATTAATATTAGAAACCATGAGTAACTTGACATAAAACCCATAAAATTCTATTGTTGAAACAAAAAGTACTAAATTTAGCAAAAAATGCCTGTCAGAAACCCGTTACCATGGCAACACAAAAAATTATTATCTTATTCCAATGATAGAGAATTGTTGCCAACAATATTTTAGGAAAAGTCACCAAGTTTGGTCGTTCTACGGCTAGCCGTTCAGACGCTAGGTGACATCAAAGTTGCCGCGGGCACTTTTAGCCCCCCCCGGTCTAGGTAGGGTTAAACACGTACAATTCCAAAACCAAAGACGATATTCCAAAACGGTTTGCTGTTCTGGAATACTTGTGTCACACCCTTTCAAACAATACCGAAGTTTTGCGTCCTAAAACTTGTTTTTACCCTAACCCTAGCCCAAACCCTAAAGGTGTCACGATCACTAACTTGTTACCATAGCGTCACCTAGAAGTGTTCAAACACGTACAATTCCAAAACCAAAGAAGATATTCCAAAACGGTTTGCTGTTCTGGAATACTTGTGTCAAACCCTTTCAAACAATACCAAACCTTTGCGTCCTAAGACTTGTTTTTACCCTAACTCTAGCCCAAACCCTAACCATGTCAAGATCATTAACTTGTTACTATAGCGTCACCTGAAAAGTTCAAACCTGTACAATTCCAAAACCAAAGACGATATTCCAAAACGGTTTGCTGTTCTGAAATTCTTGTGTCAAACCCTTTCAAACGATACCAAACTTTTGCGTCCTAAGACTTGTTTTTACCCTAACCCTAGCCCAAACCCTAACCATGTCACCATCATTGACTTGTTACTATAGCGTCACATGAAAGTGTTTAAACACGTACAATTCCAAAACCAAAGACGATATTCCAAAACTGTTTGCTGTTCTGGAATACTTGTGTCAAAACCTTTCAAACAATACCAAACCTTTGCGTCCTAAAACTTGTTTTTACCCTAACCCTAGCCCAAACCCTAACCAAATCACCATCATTGACTTGTTACTATAGCGTCACCTGAAAAGTTCAAACACGTACAATTCCAAAACCAAAGAAGATATTCCAAAACGGTTTGCTGTTCTGAAATAATTGTGTCAAACCCTTTCAAACAATACCAAACCTTTGCGTCCTTAAACTTGTTTTTACCCTAACCCTAGCCCAAACCCTAAAGATATCACGATCATTAATTTGTTGCTATAGCGTCACCTGGAAGTGTTTAAACACGTACTATTCCAAAACCAAAGACGATATTTCAAAACGAATTGCTGTTCTGGAATATATGTGTCAAACCCTATCAAAGAATACCGAACTTTTGCGTCCTTAAACTTGTTTTTACCCTAACCCTAGCCCAAACCCTAACCATGTCACCATCATTGACTTATTACTATAGCGTCACCTGAAAACTTCAAACACGTACAATTCCAAAACCAAAGACGATATTCCAAAACGGTCTGCTGTTCTGGAATAATTGTGTCAAACCCTTTCAAACGGTACAGAACTTTTGCGTCTTTAAACTTGTTTTCACCCTAACCCTAGCCCAAACCCTGACCATGTCACGATCATTAACTTGTTACTATAGCGTCACCTGAAGAGTTCAAACACCTACAATTCCAAAACCAAAGACGATATTCCAAAACGGTTTGCTGTTCTGGAATACCTGTGTCAAACCCTTTCAAAGGATACCGAACTTTTGCGTCCTTAAACTTGTTTTCACCCTAACCCTAGCCCAAACCCTAACCATGTCACCATCATTGACTTGTTACTATAGCGTCACCTGAAAAATTCAAACACGTACAATTCCAAAACCATAGACGATATTCCAAAACGGTTTGCTGTTCTGGAATACTTGTGTCAAACCCTTTCAAATGATACAAAACTTTTTCCTTCCTAATAGTTTTTGTTACCCTAACCCTAATCCTAACCCTCAAAAAAAATAAAAAAAAATCAATATGGGTTAGGGAACCCATGTTGATTTTCTTTGATTTTCATATTTCTATGTATGATATAATGTATAATTCTTTTACAAAAAACGTAAATCGAGGAACTATTCCCAACATCAGAGACATACGCGTTTCGGATGGTTATAAGGTACTTTATAATAACCCTTTTCTGTTCCAAACAATTTATAACGTCCTGTCTATAGCCTTTATGTTTACAAAAGTTTTAAGTACACGGCCACAGCCGAGCAGCAGCTCAAGACTCCTTTCAATGGTTCGGGTAGATCGGGAGGCCATGTTCAGCTTTTTGTGACAGGGTCATTTAATACTAACGTGGCTCGTTCTACATTTCCCATTCTTTATCAATCCTAATATCCTAAAATGACCCTTTGTAGGTCATGCTGGAGGTAACTTACTTTTTTGTGGCCAGATTTAGATCAGAGTTACAGCAAGGAGCGTCAATTAGTTGTTTTGTCTGTGATATGTATGCAATTCAGCCTAACTTTTGATCAGCATTGTTAACAAAAGAGGTAGCTAAAGAGAGGCTCCACAGGATGGAATTAGCGTGCTAATCAAATGCTAAACGGCAGGCGGGGCAGAGGCAGTGGGTTATCACTCAAACTGTTGCATATTTACAACCATCCAGGCTGCAGTTAGTTCATTTCAATATTACAGTAGCTTATTATCATATTAAAATGATATCTTTGCTGGGGGTAACCGTGTGACGCCTTACACCAACAGAGCACCTCATAAACGACCTCGTCCGCTTCGCGGCCTCGGTCGTTCATTCGGTGGTTATAGGAACCGACATCGTATTTACCTCAGGGCGGGTCATTAACTCTATATTATTTCCGTTGCTGCTTTCACGGTCAATGTAATATTGCAGATGCACCCCTACAATTGTGAGGCAAATTGGAATGGTACTAAAAAACCCGTTGTTTGGAGTAACGGTGGGGGGTGGAACTTTAGGCAGATATGGTGAGGGGCCGATAAGTGGCACCAGATGTTTTTCCCCGTGCTTAAGAGATGCTTAAGGTTTTCGGAAGATGTTCGCAGCCAAAACGCATTCTTCCGTACGTAGCATTTCTGTGTAATTTGGCATGTGGTGTACAATTATCGCGGTGATGATACACGTCTTTTTTTTACTGTAGCAGTTTTGATATTGAAGTAAATGCATATTTTAGAAACATCCCTACTTTTACAATCCTGTGGAATAGGCCGTAGGTTTAGGCAGTTGTCTGGTAGCAGAGGTTCTCTAAGCAGATATTAGGTGGCTGTTGTGCATATTGTGCTGTTGTGGCGAGTACCTTTTAGGATTGTGGTTTGTACCTACTGCGACACCTTGTCAAATGAATAATATGTAGTAAATAAAAGATATTGTTATGAAAGCTGACTTTGTTCATCTATTTAGATTGTCGTGTTGTTGATTTTATGTAGTCTGTGTTTAGACTAGTTAGTTTAGACTGTGTTTAGACTAGTTTACGGAGGATTGTCACCTATGGCTTCTTGTTTCTTTTTATAACGACATTCATTTCTTGATATGAAGTGGAAAGTCGAAGACTCCTTCGAGAACAGCGTGAACCTCTGAGACGACCCCTTGTCATGAACTTGTTTCGACCCCTTGTCCTGAACTTTTTGTCAGGGTCCCACATGTAGTAATTTGCATGGTCCCTCTTTAGTCTTTTCGCGTCAGGCAACGAAGCAGACAAGTCACATCTGGGTCAGGTAAAGACGCATTCCTTATCAGTCCACAGCTTCTGTTCCAAGATCAGCCAAGAAACACCAAAAGGAGACTAAAACACGGGGATTCAGACTGAATGTTGGTCTTCTAGAAGAAAGCTTACCGTAACAAGTGGTCGCGTTACAAAGAGTTACCGAACATACGTATAAGCAAGTGTGTCTCAGTGGTAGGTTAAACATAGGGGAGAGTAGACAAACCGGCCATGTGTGCTCTTTTGTAGGTTCGCGGATGGTCGCTGCATTTTGATCCCTCTGAAAATTAAATTAAATCACTCCGGTGCTTCAGTGCTTCCCTCATCAGTAAGAAAGATTACGAAGATTTTGTTTTGTAGGTTTTTAAGGTTTCGTAGCTTTTGCTAAGATAGTACGTTTCCATAACTGCTGATTGTCTTGCTGTATGGTGTTATGTACAGAAAGTTGACACATTTTCACTCTGGTGCGTCCGCGTTTCCCTCACCAACCAGTATGAAACGTTACGGAGGTTTTATTTTGAAGGTTTTGTAGCTTTTGCTAAGGTAGTACGTTTCCGTAACTGCTGGTTATTGTGCCGTACGGTGTAATGTAACGAAAGGTGACACATTTCCTTTTTCTACCTTTTATTCCTGATCGTATAAAGTGCTTAACATGCATGTATGACCTTTATTCAAAAGGTATGGAAAGTTTTGTATTAATGAGAGAAAATCCCACGAAATACCTCAGTTCTGTTGCTGAGAGAGAGTAGTTTTGATAGCTGTACAAACAAGATAAAAAAATAACAATGAATTGTTTACTTATTTCAATACCTGTGCCACAACCATTGCAGCCAAAACGGCTGAATAACATTGGGACATTTACAATTTGAATAGAGACATGATTAAACGTATTTACATAAACATGCATGTACAATTCGGATAGAGACATGATTGGAACATATTTAGTAAAAAAAGTTCTCTACAGTATTGTATTTGTCAGAGTACCAGTTACTGTGACAGGTTAAAAAAACAATTTTAGCGCAACTATTCAAAATTGCCAACAGGTGGTATAAATGGTCAAGAGCAGTACAGTGTGTCACTGGGGTTCAAAAGTTCAATCATATAAGGTAGGGAACTGTTCGTTTACCTTCTGGTACGGATACACCCCCTCGAAGGCACTGATTGACGGTGTTAAGCGACTGTGTAACTCATTACCTCTCAAATGCATGCACGGTGGCACTGGAGTATATTTATGTAAACAAACCGCAAGATCACTTCCACCGAGGCTTTGGCTTGACTCTAGGCCTTGGTAGCCCATGGTAGTTTGCGACAATACGAAGCCGATGGTAACTCTGGATGATCGTACCCAGGCTACCGAAGGCGAGTTAAATACATACAGTGCAGATTCATAAATTCTGCATATATGCGTCACTATGTACTGCCGCAAATTCACAATGCCAACGGTTAAGTAGCATGCTTATTTTTTTGCCAACTTTTTTTTTTTATTTGCCCGCACGCACTAACCTCAGAGTCTTCGAATTCACGGCAGGTCATCTATAAAATTAAGTCGGTGTGGCCTAACTCAGGTCTAACAAATCTATGAACCTGTATGGTACCACATGCAACACTTTGCAGATTGTATATTTAGATACATTGTATCAACAAATGCGGTACTTGAAAGTATTGTTGAAGTTGTGAAATGATAATGCATCATTTGTTTCCCAGTTGCCATGGATAGTGAAAACGCCGATCAGTATGCGAAGAACCGGGCAGGACAACAGAAGATGGCACTGGATCTTATGAACAGGTACAATGTATAGGATGAGACTGTTTTAATATCGATGGCACTAGATGTCAAAGTATTAAACAATTATCAGACAAAAACCAAACAAGTAACAGACATAAACCAAAAACTGTTACTTAAGCAACTGGATATGATGTTATCGTATTTTATTACCTAAATGTCTAACGTTCATCGACGTATTTATAAGAAATATACGTCGATGAAGGTTAGACATCCAGGTACTACGATACGCCAAAAAGCAGTAACTCTGAAGCAACTGGATCTGATTTTCAAAATCAGATCCAGTTGCTTGAGTAACTGCTTTTTGGTATAGCAGATATAGAATGTTACTTTCCCATAGGAATTCGAAGTTGTAGACCATGATGCAGTAATGAACTATATTCTTTCAGAAATAAGAAATAAACTGTGATGAACAGTGCTAGCCTGCTATAGCTATCTGCATCTAAATTTTCTCGTAGTCACTTCACGTGGGCAGAGGGTCCTGGATGTTGGCTGTGGTACAGGAGAGATCACCAAACTCATGTCTCAGCAGCCGGGAGTCAAGTCTGTTGTCGGGATCGACTTGTCTTCAGACTTTATCAGGTACCATTTCATTTAGCTAGCACTTAATAAGCTGTGCAACTACATTTGTTGTTTTTTTTTTTTGCGACATCTCGCGGACGGAGTCATTGGTATTGTACTGCACGTTGGTATAGTACTGCGATTGAGTTGAAAATATTTTAAGAATTGCATTCCCTATGGAATGCATTCCATGGGGAACTCAATTTTGTCAACGGCTGGATGGATTGGTTTCATACTTTGTGGGTCCGTAGGGTGTGACTACATCTAGAAATTATAAGATTTTGGCTCCCCACTTGCTTCCCTTGGTACTGCAGCGGAACTTCTGGTCTCGATATATCGCGATCTGGACATGCTAGGGTCATGAATTGGTTGGTAGGTAGCTCTTGTGCTTCAAAAAAAGTCACACGAATCAAGGCCCCCCAGCTAGTAGCTTGTTCAAGCTGGAACTGCAGTACAGTGTGTTTAAAAAGTATTCGAGAGAGGATAACTAAAAAACTGGTCGACGGCTCGTAATTATTTTTGGTATGTAAAAAGTCTACTACAATGTAATGCAGCTGATTTATAGAATTTCTCCATTAATTATGCAAATTACATCCAGATTTGCATAATTGCCGCATAATTATACCGACCATCACGTAAGCTACCTACATACCAAAAATCACGACGATCCGTCCACCGGTTCTTGAGTTATCCTTTTGAGCCGCTCGCAATACTTAATACACGGTACATCGGAGAGGTAGGTGATGCTTGACATAATTGAATTACAACTATGCAAATCAGGATCTAATTTGCATTATTATTGAAGAAATTCGTGACCGTGCCGCCCCCCGTCCAATATGAATAAAATTGTACTTTTTTTGCTCATCTTTATTTTGTTTTACAGTTTCGCATCCAAGAACAACGCTGCCGAGAACGTCAGTTTCCATGTGGCCGACGCCTCTAAGTCCGCCGACTTCAAACCGGAGTGGAAGGGTGCATTCACCAAGGCCACCTGCTTCACTGTTCTGCACTGGATCCAAGACAAACGAAGCGCCTTGAAGAACATCGCTTCCTGTCTTGAGCCTGAAGGAGAGCTTGTGATCAACTGTCTGTTGGAGTCAGGGGAACAAATGGGCAAGTTGGATCTGCCGAAATGGAAAGGATACCTGGAAGATTTCACCTACGGTGTCTACCCGTGGCCCAATGACGACATTGACGGCATGGTTCAGCTGTTCGAAGAGGCGGGGTTTGAAGTGTTGAAGTGTCAGGAACAGAATGCGCCACGCAAATCTTTCCCGACCGACCCAGAGGGTTCCAAAGCTTTCATGCGCACGATGCTGCCTCAGCTCAAGTTCATACCGACCGACAAACAGGACGACTATCTGACGGATGTCTACTGGGCAATCATAGAGATGACGAAGCATCGCAAAATAAAAGAGGTGACTCCGACATCGTAGTTGCGCATGTGCGCAAAGTTTGACTTAAGTCCCTACCCACACAGTTTTGCAGGTCCACTGGTCTTACAAACTAATGCTGGGGTCACATTTCCAAAACGGGGCCCGGCCGGGCAGTCGTACGAAACGAAAAGTATGATATAAATGACAACAAAGCTAAAAAAGTAATTACTTATTAATGATTGGAACTCTTTGCGTATATTATTAGATTTTTTGTTAATTGAAGCAGCCCGGCTGGGCCCCGGTTTGGAAATGTGACCTCGGCATTAGGGGTTGTCACAGATAAGCTGGGCTAAAACCTACACTTCCGTCCTTTCATGCTGGGTTTCCCAGTCCCAGGTCTGTTGTAGTACGTCACTTCAGATCATCTGTTTAGTTGTGCCAATAATTTCACAAAAATTCTAGACTCTTACTGATGCTTGAAATCTAAATCTAAATTTGTGATTTCTTGATTGTAAAGTAGAAAACCTAATTAACATGTTCTGCCTTTAGTTTATATGTATGGCAGGAGATATGAGTCTCTATATACTATATACTCACACCAGCTATGAACAGATCTGTAACTAGAATAAGCTAAATCTCTAATTTCTTGTTTGAGGAGTAGACAACTTATCAACATGTTCTGCCTTGAGTTTATATGTATGACAGGAGATATGAATCTCTATATATACCCAGACCAGCTATGAAAGGATTTTTACAAGAATAAGCTAACTTCTCTATCTAAGTTGTTAAACATGTATTTGTTAATTCGAAGTGATCATGATATAGTTAGTTTGATGTTTTGCGCTTGAGTAAGAAATATATGTATGACAGGAAATATGAATCTCTATATACGGGATTAGTGACTAGAATAAGCTAAATCTCTGATATATTGTTCGTGAAGTAGACAACTTAATCAACAAGTTCTGCCTTGAGTTTATATGTATGGCATGAAATATAAATCACTATATACTTGGACCAACTATGAACGGATCTGTGACTAGAATAAGCTAAATCTCTGATATCTTGTTTTTGGAGTAGAAAACTTATCAACATGTTCTGCCTTGAGTTTATAACAGGAGATATGAGTCTCTATATACTCAGACAAGCTATAAACGGATCTGTGACTCTATCCAAGCTGTTACATATATTATGTTAATTCGAAGTGATCGTGATTTTTTTTTAGTTTAATGTTTGTGTGCTTGTTGTTTTTGCCGCTAAGTCTGATTCCAAACCACCCGGACAGACGGAACTGGTTAAGATATAGTAAGCAGTGTTTGAATATAGTTAACATAGTCTGTGACAGGATGCATAGGGTACATAAACAAGAAGTCTTTTTCTGTTCCAGGAATTACATGGGAGTCAGACAATTGACCGATCCTGACAGTGACAATAGCAGTTTAACCAATGATAGCACGACAATAAAAGATTTGACTAATGAGATGCTGCAAGTCCGTCCAATATTTGCATTTTAATGTTTTATTTTATTTTTCTTTATTACGTTTTGACTAAGGTAGCATGGGCGGCTTTATTTTTTTTCTTACTTCAATTTTCACCACTAAAAGTGTCATACGTACCACAACATGTTGTGGGTTACATTAAGGAACAGTTGAGACTGATGTTAACATTGTAAGGCTGTACCGTACCCATTTGGGAAGCATTCAATAGTGTTGTAGTTCTAAGAAATAAGCGTTCTAAGTGTGGAACTTTCTACTGGGAGATGGGATAATGGGGGAAAAAAGGTTGATTTTCTTCAATTGGTGTGACGAAAAAAGTGCGAAGAGGGGGCACAAACGAATTAAATTCTTCTGGGCATTCAACATGGATATAACGATGGAGTATGGCCAGATTTGCAACATCACAACTTTGTAAAAGGGGCTGCATGGAGGAGTACAAGCCATCCTGACAAGATGTGATGTTTATGTTGTAGGTTAGGGCACACCGACTTAATTTTATTGATGACAACCACGCGTGCATTGATTTTGACTTCGTCTGCCCCCCCCCCCCCCAAAAAA